AGCCCTAAATAACAGAATTAAAGGTTTCTCTATTAGACACATAGGTTATACTAGTAAAAGGGTTTTGCAAGATCAGATGAAATTAAATTATTAAACTGTATCTTATGGGGAAGGACATCTGTAACACTAAAAGTTAAATGTTATGTTTACAGTCCTGATAACTGGGGATGTTAAAGCCTGGTGAGGGAACTTCTGCACCGTGACATGTTCCAGCTGCTCCAACATTTATTCAGTACTCATGGTTTTTGTTTCTCTCATAGAAACACCCATCCCCAGATGACTTTACAACTTGTTCTTCCCCAACCAGACTTCAAATTGAGCAATTTCTAAAAGGGAACTCTTGTCCCCCCGTCGTCCCTCATCCTCAAGCCCCCTCATGTTCCACACCCCCTCTCAGCTCTGAAGCAGCCAGATGAGCCATTACCCCTTCTTCTTACAGCAATAAGGAGTTCCTAAAATTAGAGGGAGGTGTAGGAAGCTGTTCTCGCACGTGACTGAGATACCTCCCTGACTGGGTGTGACGTGCACAGAACAGCTATGTCAGAGCTTTCCCCACCCTTTCCAGATGCTAGGGCTTGTCCAGTGTAATGGTGTGGCTGACCATTGACCTGGAAACCAATCACTAACACTGACTTTGAAATGCTGTCTCCCTCGACCTTCATTGGATGGAATTTTCCCCTGAATTTTTTGTTTCCCAATAAAAGCCCACTCTCTGGCATGATTCTTCCTCTCTCTTGCTGGCCTTTGTGTAAACCTTGCTGCTGCGAGGTGGCTCAAGGCAGGAGCTGGGAGAAGCCTTCTCTGAGGTGGCCGCGTGACTGGGTGGCTGGAGATTGCCCTCCGGCGACCTGGAGCTGAAACCAACCAGAGACAGTCCAGTCCCACCCTCCCCATTCGGACACCCCGGCAAGGAGCCTGGGGCCTGCCATAGCAGAGAGGTGACGACACTGGAGTTCGGTCATCGGAATTCCTTCTCAGTGGAATCCACTTTATCAAGCATAGTCTACCAACACAAAGGAGAGACAACAGAGATATCAAAGCCAAAACAAATCTATAGAAGAGAGCAGAAACACAGCAATCAAACAGAGCTGGAAAGTAATGTGAACATCATGAAAAAAACAAGGGAAAAAAGGAGTACAAACAATGCAGGACAACTTAAATCTACAGGAGGACCTAGAAGCATCAGAAACATGAATAGGGAAAGAACTCAAGGCATACC